GGGCGGGCAGGCCGGCAGGCCCGTCGAGCACGGCCGCGTTGCGGGACTGCCTATCCACAGGCGCCAGGCGGGCGAGCAGGCCAGTCATAGTCGAGCAGGGCTACATTGCGGCTCCTGACTCTCTGCTTCCTGCAGCTTGCCGACGAGCTGACGGCGGAGGAGGTATCCGAGTGCCGAGCCTGGGTGCAAGAATATCTGCGTCGTGACGCCGCAGAGGACGCCTCCGGCGCTTCCACCAGTCCGCAGTCCACCGTCATCGACGTGACGGGATCGGGGTCGGAGGCGCCAGCGGTGCCGCCAGCTCAGGTTCGCAGGTCTAAAGAGAAGCTCAATCTCTGCTCCTCCAAGTCGATGCTAAAGCCATCCTGGTGGTGCAGATCCCGTCCGACCCGCGCAAGGTGCGCCTCTGCTTCTCCATGCTCCGCGCCGCCTACTGCGAGCGCGATGGCCCGGACACCCAGGACGGCCTCGCCGCGCCCAAGCCGCTGCAGACCAAGGTGGCGTCGCAGGTCGAGCACTTCCGGGAGATCATCAGGCAGCGCGACAGCGAAATCTGTAACCTTTTGGCGGCTGAGCAGAAGTCGGTGGTAGTGGGGCCCCCTGGGCCCCCTTCCGGGCCCGGAGAGGTCGGGGGCGGGCAGGCGGCGGGGGACGCGGGCAGGCCAGCCTCGCTCCGGGGGTTTTACGTGCAATTGTAGTGCCGGCCGTCGTGGCGATCCTCGTGGCCTTCTACACCACGCTCACCGCCACGCTTGTCCTAGTGTTCCTCGAGCCCCCCTAGCTGGCGCAGCTGGCGTGAGGATCGGGTGTCGCCATGGTGCCGTCACTCTTCGCAGAGCGCTCTTTCCAGGGCCCGCAAAATTTTGTAACAATTGAAAAAGAAAACATACATGGAAATAAATTAATGCTCAGCAATACGCGTATTTATTTGATGATGACTAGTAAAGCCCATGGTGACACACGTATCTGGCCTGCTAGTACCATACCACACACCAACGGATCGCGATTTTGTCACCTATCAGGCTGAGATGGCTAGAGGTCGCGAGGGGCGCACCCAAAGAACAGAAACATGTCTGTTGACAGCAACGTATTCATTTTAACGTCATTTGAACCAAATTTTGACATCTCAATGAGGTCAATTTGGACCCATTGATGGCAGATGACATCACATGGACATTTTCGGTTCTCTGGGTGTCAGCCAAGCCCACACCTTTTCTGACGTTACACTTTACAGTACCGTCAATTTCTGGTTTTAACAAGTGGGATAAAACAAACTTACTGTACATCATAGGTAGACCATATGAACCCATCCAGTCAGATAGGCAACACTGCTACCACTTCCTTGACGAGTGCCAGCCATCCTCATCAACCTGCTCCGGAAGGAGAAGCAGCGCTCGCACGGCTGTAGCCCCGCGCCCAGCCCCGCGCTGCAGGAGCACCTGCAGGAGCAGCTCCCGGAGCAGGACAAGGCGGCCGCGCTCCCACCCGCGCCGCCCAACGCGCCGCCGCCCTCCCCGGCGCTCCCCGCCACCGAGTACGAGTGCGTCATCGGCCGGTTCATCGGTGAGAGAAGGCAGGGTGGTGGGGCTGGCCAAGGGTTGCCGGGTGCCGCACAGGGAGCTTCACTTGACAACTGTTCCAGGACAGAACTTCACCCTCGCCGAGCGTGAGGCCTTTAAGATATTCGCGGCCGACCGCAAGAACAGGATCGAAGTGGAAATGACCAAGGAGGCGCTCCGCGCGAAATTCGAGGAAGCCAAGCTGGCAGCGGCGCGTATAAAGCTGACCAGGAAGAGGATGGGTCAGTGCGCAGGCTAGAGCCTGATAGTTATCATATCGAGAACCTCTACGGCACCAAGCTGTCACTCGCTTCGGTTACAGTCAGCCTGCACAACGAGATGAAGCTCCTCAGCGACCTGGATCCCGCGGAGCGCGTCAAGAAAACGGCCCTGCAGGATGAGCTGGGCAACGAACAGGCGAGCTACAGGAAGACGCTCATGGATTTGCAGGTATGCGGCGCAGGCGTTGCTCGTTAGTCTCCGCGACGCGAAACCTCAGTGGTCCTCAGCGCGACGCGAGCTCTCTCTCTCTCTCTATCTCTTGCAGCTGCTCAAGGTGGAGACGGGCCACCAGAAGCACGCCGTGGAGCAGGCCAAGCTGCGCCTGCTCCGCAAGTTCCAGGACTGGTGGGCAGCCCAGATCTCGTGCTGCAGCGGCCTCTCTGCGCCCCCCGCCGCGGAGCTCCCGGAGCAGGAGGAGCAGAGCCCCGCGCGGCCCCAGTCCTGCCAGAGCACGCGCCCAAACACGGTGGCCCAGGCCTTCGGCAAGCAGCTGCAGGTGAGGTCCGAGGCCGGGTCCGAGGCCTCCATGACCACCATGACCTCAGCACTGTGCCAGCACAGCCTCTCTCCTCTCTGTGCAGACCCACCATGCGCGGCCGTGGTCAGCTGGACAGACGGCCTCGGCGCCCCCGCCGTCCGGACCACCACCTTGTCACACGGGATCCATGCCATGCTTCTGCCTCGACCCCTGCCTCCCGCCCGACTCCTCTGCGCACAAGGCTCCCGAGGAGGACTCGCCCACGCCTCCGGTCACCACCATCTGGGCCAGGTTCAGTGAGGCAGCGTCGCCGCGGTCCGCGGCGTGTTGTAGGGTCGTCGCACCTGACGAGCCGGCCCAAGCACCCGACAGCGACCAAGAGCAGGACGGGGGCGTCAGCCAGGTCCTCGGACCAAGCCCACAGGACCAACCACCACAGACTCCCGATATAACTGCGAAGGCTACTCAGAAGGGCTCAGGGTTACACGGCGGCCAGCAGTCTCCCACCACCAAAGACGACGAAGAATACATCCGTAACAACATTGCTCTCACAGGGGAGCCAGATGTGGATCGTGAAATCATAGAATTCTACAAAGCGCGTAACAGGATGTCTAGAGGTCACACCTTGTAATGTTTTACAACTAGGCAATTTCAAATAATCCCATTACAGAAAGTATTTTTTCCATCTTACAATTGGATTGCTAGTGAAGTAACATTAAAGATTTGTTAAGCCACTGTACAAAATGTTTTAATTAATCCAAGGTGAGTAGAAGAAACACTAAAAAAATTCATTTTATGTATTTATTTCAAACAATTTATAAAATTGGACTAGAAGCACTTTATCCACAAAGGTAACAATGGTTTCACTTTTAAAATATACAAAAATACTGTTTCTAAAAAGTGAACTCTTCACAGAAAATCCAATAAAAATGCACAGAAGTAGAACCTGGAGGTACTGATGCACATTGCCATTTTAACTGCAGCGTGTATAGTAAAAGGTACAAGATCAAAACTATGGAAGACTACAATTCAAAGCAGGTTCATCCAGTGGGTCACCTGACATTTCAACTTCAAGTAACAAGACCTGGTGATCAGTTCGGAGTAAAAGGAAGTGACGCTGGTTGACAAATGCCCGGGCGTTGAGACGAACAGGGATCATTTCCTTCACAGCAAATGGTAGTTTTGCTCCAGTTACATCGACAAATCCCTCCACACCTGTAATTTAAATCGGTCGTCAGACATGAGCATAAAGAGGAAGAATTAACAAATTGTCCTTGAACATTACCTTTGTACTCTACAACCCTTAAAAACTTCTCATTTTCAATGAAAGCAAGCAATGTCTGTCCGTTGCGACCTGGTGCTGTAAGTTCCAGCACGCTCAATGAATGGGCTCCATGAACTTTAACCCTTGCAAGAGGGTTTGCAGTTACTAGATCTTCATAAACCTGAAATTCAGTGTTTTATTTTCCAGCACATTTTCTAGCACACTCAAAATTTTAAAATGAACAGGGTTCTTACCACAAGCAAATCTGAACCTTCTGCAGTAACCACCACAAGTTTGCGACCGTCTGCTATTTTCATTGTTACAGAATTTCCAAACGGCAAATAAGAATTTGAAGCCCGTGAAACCATTCTAGTAGTAATGTTCTCTCCAGGTTCTTCCAGAACAGTCACATTTTCACCAACACTGATTGAAAGACCAAGACCAGAAGAACGTGGGACAAAATGAGAAGGTGCACCTAAAACATCACAAGGATATGTATTAAATAAGAACCAGGGCACAATTTAAAGCCAAAAAAATTAAATAAAATAGTTATTTCACCTGTTTCAGGTAACGGCCAGGATTTAACTTTAGAGGCCACTCCATCTGCCAAGCGCCATTGATCAACTCCAGATTGACGCAGCAAATGAATGTGTCCCACGCTCTCATCAATTTCAGCATCTTGCCATGCATCCATGCTTTGAACATTCTAGAAAATACATATTGTGTATTGTTAGAAGACAACATTGAGAATGTGGAAGAAAAATTGAGCAAATTTATTATTAGCGTACCCTTGGCCTGAAAGAAGATTCAATTTGCCAAATATTTCCACCTTGGTATGGACAGCCTTGATTGCCACCTGAGGTAACAAGATATGTAGACCCTGCATTTCGGAGTGTAGCCCATTTTTCCACACTACCAATGTTCTCAACAGCTCCATCAACCAGATCCCACGCTGTATTTCCTCTATTCCAACGGTACATTGCTCCAGAACAATTGTTGGAGTAACTTACAGCTAGGAATTGCTGATCAAGTGCCTGTGAAGAATTAATTAGAAAAATATATAATAAAAATTACAGAGTACAAGCAAACTAAGTAGATCATTCTTACCTCAAAGGCATGCATACTGGCAATGGACTGACTGGATACAATTGACTGGACAACCTCCAACTGTCTAAATAAGAAAGGTTGGGCCCTTGCTTTGTCCAACAGAGCATCAGTGTCATGGCACAATTGGCTCCACTCAACCTGAACAATTAGAGAGGTTCTTAAATTTTATCCATCTAAAAGCTGCATAATTATTAACCTATTAACTCTACCTTAATGTCATCTTGAGTTTTTCTTGTTAACTCCCTCCTCCTGTAAGCTGAATCGACCAACTCAGAAACACTCTCTCCACCCAAAAGACCATTTCCTCCAACAGCTTCCATGCACTTGATCTTGCCCTGTAAAAGTAAGATTAAAATACCACCACTGGCACTTTGCTTGAAACAAAAACAAAAAGACATATAAAAAAATACAATTACCTGCACATCATAAAAAGCAGTGACAATTTGAGGGAGTGGAGACTTCTTTAGTAAAGCTCTTTCATGCCATTTCTGTACATCCAGATTGGAGACAAGCCCAGTCACTCTTAGGTCCTGATCGATTACCATGTTTGAAAATTGCAGAGGACCTGTAAACCAAGAGATATAATAACTGTGCAGAGGTGGCAACAGGAGAAGCTAAAGACACATACCATTTACGGTTTCGTCATCATTTAGAGTAACACTGTTAGAAATGTTCCTTTCACTGATCAAACTTCCAGTTAAAACATTATTTTGAACTGTGAAACCTTTGAGGAAAGATTTGGACCCAGTTACTCTCTGGTTTCCTCCAATCTGGGAATGGACAAAGGGCTTTTAGTCAACAAAGAACTGTTTTAAAAAATTAAACAAAACAATAGAATGCAGCTTCTTACCATCAACGTATTATCATACTCGGTCTGAAGGATTTTCCCGTTTACTGTTCTAGCAACATTCAAGTCACGCTCCACTGCTGCAGCAATAATATTCAGATCTGCTGGTATGTCTTGAGGAGTGTTGAGTGTAATTACCTTGGATAGATCCACAGCATTCAAAACAGAAATTTTTAAATCAGAGTTTGACCCAACTGACTTAAATTGCTTGAGACCTGCCCAGACAAGCAGACAAAGGGTTAAATTATTTTACTTGTAGACAACTTAAGAGTATACTTGTAAAAACAATACTTGCCAAAAATTTGCGTTGACTGAGACAAGTAAATTGCATTATCAAGCCATTCCTTTACCAAGCATGAATCCAACTCCATTGCTTGCAGATTTTTAGAGATGGATACTCCATTGGTAACAGTGAGGCTGTCTTCAAATCTTATCCGACCGTTAATAGTAACAGGGTTATCATCATTATGAAGAACAATGTCCTTAGCCATTTCGCCGAGAGTGAGATTGTTAACTCTACCTCTCACATTAACATTTTCAAAGACAACCTACAACATGCAAATTAGATAGAAACAAGAAAAAGCAAGATAAAACAAATCCATCAGAACCCATTTTAGCACATCATACCTGGTTTACAAACACCTTGAATCCTGTAATCCGTGTAGGTTCAGCTTTATAGACAACAGATTTAAAGAAGTCTTCTAGATTGATGTTCTTTACAGATTGCATTACTGATAAATCATCCACAGATACACCTTTCTCAAAGTGGGCATTACCTGGGAGCAAAGAAAGATTTAAATATGCAATTTCCTCAAAGAAACTAAAATTTGATCACCACTTAATTATACACACCAATTAATAAATGGCGATTTTCGGCCACAAGCTTATAACGGTTTTGAAAGTTTGTCACGGGAATGTTATTGAGAAGACCAGTCAAATTAATATTTCCAGCATACACGTTTCCATTTACTTTTAATGTGCCTGTAAGACAGAACACACAATGAGATTCACTGTAAAATATCACACCTGCATGTCTAATTAAGAATTACCGTGAATGATTGCGGGAGTTGTTTTGGTAAGAATTGACGATGGAGTTAAACCATTAAGTGTACCGGTCTTAATATTTTCATCTACGATAAAACCTTCAGCAAATGTTTTTCTCCCTAGAAGCAAACAAAAATGTAAAAATATAAACTGAA